CTCTCTCTCTCTCTCTCTCTCTCTCTCTCTCTCTCTCTCTCTCTCTCTCTCCTCTCTCCTTTTGCCTGAGGGTGTGAATGCAAGCTCTCAGCTATTACTCCAGCACCCTGCCTGCCTGCCTGCCTCAAGCCATGCTCCCCACCATGATGGTCATGGTTCCTTGGAACTGTCAGCAAGTCCCCGATTAGATGCATTCTTTTATAAGATGCCTGGGTCATGGTGTCTCTTCACAGCAACAGAACAGTGACTAAGATGGGATAGTACTGCTGGAAATACTATTGTGTGTTCCTGATAACTATAAATGGAAAACATGGATCAACAGGTAACTGGGTAAACAGGCTGTGGCATGTCCATACAGCGAAATACTACTCAGCAACAAACATAAACAAATCATTGTTGCCACAACAACCTCAAAGCATTATCAGAGGAGAAGGCAGACTTGGATGAGCCCAGGCTGTCCCTGTCATGTCCATGCCATTAAAAGCCCCGGACAGACTCAGCTGCTCCACAACGGAACCACAGTCCTAGTGAGGGGGTGGGGAGGGGAGGGTAGTCAAAGAGAACTTTCTGGAGCTCACTGTGGTGGTTTGAAAGAAAATGGCCTCCAAAGTCAGTTGCACTAATGGGAGGTGTGGCCTTGCTGGAGGCATCGTGTCACTGTGGAGGTAGGATTAGAGGTCTCATATATGCTCAAGCCATGCCTAGTGAGTCAGTCTACTTCCTGCTGCCTGCATTACAGCCAACGTGTAGCCAGCACCACATCTGTCTGCATGCTGCCATGCTCCCTGCCAGGATGATGATAACAGACTAAATCTCTGAAACTCTAAGCCACCGCCTCGATTAAAAATTTTCTTCTATAAGAGTTGCCATGGTCATGGTGTCCCTTCAGAGTGATAGAAACCCTAACTAAAGCATTCATTCTGATTGGTGGAGGTCTGGGCTACACAGGTGGGTTTGTGAAGTCAGCAAATTGCACACTTAGATCTGTGTGCTTTGTCTTGTATAAATTACAGCCCAGCTTTTAACTCAGATTTAAAATGTGACACCTGCGCACCACAGTGTTTAACAGACAGACAGAAGGCCGATGGGGCTGACAACCCTGCTCCTGTCTGGCCTTAGGTCCCTTTTCTAATCTTATCAAAAAGAAAGGTGATGCATCTCCTGTGTGCCTACCTGTTGCGGAGGTTCTCGTCCTCATGGGTCCTGCTGCCCTTCTCAGCCCCAAATAAGTGTAAGGAGTAGGGTTTTCCGCCCGCCGCTGGTTTTGTCCTGCAGCTGCGCCAGCCCCAAATAACACACTGAGACTGTATTTGATATAATCCGTTGGCCAGTTACTAGTTTCTTATCGGCTAGCTCTGTCTTAATTATTAACCCATTTCTATGTATTTTCACATGGTCTTACCAGCGAGGGGCAGCTGGCGGTTCTGCCTCTCAATCTTGGCTCCTCCTTCCTACTTCCTCTTTCCTCCTTGTCTCCTAGTCCCGCCTATCTTCCTTTCCTATTGGCCAACAGTGCTTTATTCATTAACCAGTATGAGAAACATATATACAGAATGACATCTCCCATCAAATAAGCACACCACACGGATGCTACATTAATTATAAAGCTGTTGGCCGATGATTAGGGCTTCTCATTGGCTAGCTCTGCCTTAATTATTAACCCATTTCTATCAATCTGTGTATTGCTGCGAGGCTGTGTCTTACCTGGTAATGCCCCGGCATGGTGTTTGTTACTCCTTAGGCAGCAACGCGACTCTGGCGAGGGCCTGCCTACCTTTCCCAGAATTCTCCTCACCCCCTAATCCCACCTATCTTTCTGCCTGGCCAATCACTGGTTATTCATCAGCCAGTAAGAGAAACATACATACATACAGAAAAATATCCCCCATCACCTACCCATGCCCTGCCTCCTGCCACCCCGCATACACCCCCATCTTTATCCCTCTCTATGCTGTGCTTGCGCCATTAAGTCAAGAAACCCCAATGTTCATGTTCTTTATTTCCCAGACGGAAATGGAGAGTGCAGACACCTGAGTCCCTCTCCCACACAGCAACAAGCACAAATAAATCTCACGCCGGTCCGCCTGCCTCCCCCGTTCATGATGAAAACCCAGTGTGTGACACAGTCAGGAGATTTCTTGTTTCGTGAACACCTACTAAGTGCAGAGGGCTCCCTTAAGGAACACTCCAGAAGCATACCTTCCCCAAGACCAGAGCTAAAGGAAGCGCGAAGTTCAGAGGGTGAGGTGATTTGCCCAGGGGGTGATTTGCCGAGCAGTGGGGACCCCTGGCCCAGGCTGTCGCTCCTTCTCCATCATTAAGACCAAGTAGCTTGAGAACCCACCCAACTGTTTTCTCCAAGACAGCTGACCGGAGAGAGACCAGGAGCCTGTGCTGGACACGATGTACCGACCCCCATGGTGTTTCCCTCTCTGATGGGCGTCACTGCGCACAGGTGAGGCATTTAAGAGGTGTTTACTGTCCAGAGGAAGCCAGTTCCGGGAATGGATTCCCCATTTCTGCAGCCGGTGTTGGTTGTCCCAAGTCTGGGTGGGGTTTCCAGGGCTGGGTTAGTTCCCACAGCAAAGCAAGCCCAGCCTTGCCCGCCCCTCTTGGTCTCCTCTTCCTTCCCCCCTCCCCCTCCCCATCCCTCCCTCCCTCTCCTACCATAGTCCTGTAGTGGCCACACTGTAACAGCAGATAGCCCCAAAGCTAACCAGACCTCTGCAATCTAGAAAACTCCCAAGCTTGACTACTTTCTTATAACCATTGGAAGCAGAAACACCACACACAGTAAAAGAAAACTGTTCAACCACATTCTAATTGAGAAAAGTAGGTAAGGTTACTTTATTAAGATATTCAAATCATTCTTTCAATATTATTAAATTTAAAAAAAAAAAAAACCTCGATTTGATTTAGGAAGATACTTAATACCTTTTCTTCCTGGCCTGGCTTTGAAAGCTAAGCACATTTTAAACGTACTAACGCTCTCAGCTTGAACACGGGCATCTCAGTATCCACAGCCAGCACAAGTATGGATGTGTGTACGAATATGGGCCCAGGACACAGGGATGGACATGTGCTGCAACCGCCTGCCCCAGTCCCAGCACAGGGCAGGGATTTGTGGGAACCCGTGAGTCCTGGTGGTCTACGGGCTGGACGTTTCCTATGACCCTGAGACGCGTCTTCCCGGGAGACGGTCAGCTCTTCACCCTTGTTCCGCTTTGGTGCTGTGATAAAACACTCTAACCAGAAGCGACTTAGGGCAGGAAAGAGTTTGGCTTACACGTCACAGTCACAGACCATCTGTCTCAGTCACTTTTCTATTGCCTGGATAAAACACCATGACCAAGGGAACTCATAAAAGAACGCATTTAATCTGGGGGCTCACAGTTCCAGAGGGTCAGAGCCCATGATCATCATGGTGGGGATGTGGAAACAGGTAGGCGGGGCACAGCACTGACTGGAGCAATAGCTAAGATCTCAGATCTGAATCACGGGGGGGGGGGGTGAGAGAGAGAAAGAGAGGAGGAGGGAGGGAAAGGAGAGAGAGGGGGAGAGAGAGGGAGGGAGAGATGGGGAGAGGGAGGGAGAGACAGAGAGAGAGAGAGAGAGGGAGTGAGAGATAGGGAGAGAGAGGGAGGGAGGGAGAGACTGGGCTTTTAAAACCTCAAAGCCAGTGATGCACCTCCTCCAACAAGGCCACACCTCCTAACCCTTCCCAGACAGTTCCACCAACTTGGGACCAAGCATTCAAACATATAAAGGGAGCCATTACCATCCAGATCATCACACCATCTTTGAGGGAAGTCAGGACAGCTGGTGCAGTCCAGAGCTAGCATGTCCCCTGTCTAGTGCATGTGTCTGCGCCATTTGCAGGGTGACTCAGCTCCACCCAGCACAAACATGCTCCACACATGTGCCCGCCCTCCCCCTAGGTCCTGACCATGATCATAAAATCGTGTCACCGTGGAAGGGGGCTCTTTAAACGTCAAAGAGTCTAAAGATCAATGGTCTGTCCTTGAGCTACTGCACTGAGGAGAAAACATTGCGACCTTGATGACTTCAAAACTCAAGAAAAAAAAAAAAGATCTCAATAATCAAAGGTAATTTATGTGGTGAGGGAAGTAGGACAAACTCTTACTCATCCTTCAAAACCCTATCTGGACATGCCCTGCTGAAGAAGTCTTCCTCAAGACCCCTACATCCCTATGGTGACTAGACTCCTCCCTTTAAACTGTCAGTTTGCACCCTTCCTAGACCTGGATAATTTATGGAGACGGAGGTCATGGTGTCTGTTGCAACAGGACCCAAAAGCTGCTTTGTAAGCTGAGCCCCTGGTCCCATCTGGCACAGGTGACTTCAGAACTCGAGGAGACAACAGTGATCACCTGTGAACACCTCACAGGACCCCACCTCTGACTTGTGGGGTGTTTGATGATTACCCGGCCACAGCAGGAGAAATGGATTTCCCTGTGCTGGGGATGTCCTTCATGAGGGGATTCAGTTTCCCATCTGTCCCCACCTGCATCTGGCTGTGCTCCTCCATGTCAGCAGTGAGTGCTCTGTGTACCCCGAGTCACTGAGAGCAAGGCTCACGGAGGGCCACTGCCTGCTTGAGGGCCAGGTGAGCCTCAAGGCGAGTGGGAACCAGCATTTCTTCACTCCTGGGGTAGAGGTATGGAAGAGCTGGCTAGCCAGTTCCATGCCTCTCAGGGGATCAACTAGATGGGGTGAACTTCCAGGGAGGGGAGCACATTAGAAGCACAGGTGTCGGGGAGCATGCCGCTGGGCTCCAGGGAAGTACCCCGTGTCCGGACTAGCCAAAGTGGTGACGGCTAGGTTCTTACCAGTGACAAGGACACCAGAGGTCAACTTCAGGCTTCCCCACGTGCTTTTCCCACGTGAACACTCAGGCACACCAAAAGGGAAGGCAGACGTGTGCAGAAAGTAAGGATCCCGTGGGAAGGAACAAGCCCCTCCCACAGACACGCCCCAGACACCATTAACGTCGTATTTATTGTTCTTTAAGCCGTTCAGCAAAACATATACACGTATATACAGTTATGCGTGAATACGGAAGACTCAACTTTACATATTTTTTTTTTAAAAAAAGAAAGAAAAATACCACTCAGTTTCATGAGCTATAGTCACTGTCTTCCAACCAAGCATTTCAGAAGAGTCAAAAAAAAAAAAAAAAGAAAAAAGAAAAAAAAAGCTTACAGGCTCGCGCACTGCACCGCAGGGTTAAGGGTTCATATTTTACATGTGCAATAGTGATTTTCTTCTCTCTACTGGAGTTGGCTGCATACTGATTACACTGTTCCCGGGCTCTTGAGCTTTGGGCGTGGTTTCTCTTCCACTTTTATCCTTTCCACTAAACCAAAATTTAATGACACGACATCCTTTTGCTTAAGGCTATTTTAAAAAGCTGTTTCACCCTGGGGCGGCGGGGAGCGAGAACGTGATAACACTGGACAGATGGGGGGGGGGGGCTGGAGGTGGCCTGAGCCACACACGCTGCGCTGGTGGCTGCCTGTGGACTTGATGCTGATGGACGTTAGGACACTCATTCCCCAGCCTTAAGCAGTGAAGGAGAAGTCATTCTTGTGTGGGAAGTGAAAGGAACTGTCTGGCTCTCTGAGACAGCTAAACGTCACAAACTCTCAGGGTGAATGTGGAGTCCGGACCAAAGCCTGGAGGATGCTCCTGTGGCCCGTGGAGAAGGGAGAAGTCATCCCGTCACTGCTCTGGGCATAGAACAGAGGGCCCATCCTGCTCACCAGCCCATGTCACCTGTTTCTGTCTGCCCGCTGAGCCCCAACACATCGCCAGGGCAACAAGTGCAGACCCCGGGGTCTCAGACCTCAGAGGAGGAGCAGGACACGAGGTAGAGAGCCAGCGTTGGACAAGTGGCTCCCACGGTTGAGAGTCCCTTGACACAAACCATTTGGGTGTCTGGAGAGCCCCGAGCCTTCGGGCCTCTTGCTAAGGAAAGGAAAGGAGCCTGTCGAGTTGGGGTGGGGGCTCAGAAAGGAACAATTGGGAAGACATGCTAACAAGGAAAACTGAGCTGAATCAGGAGGGTTGGCTCTGGCTTGACCCTCCCAGGGATGGGTAGCCCCACAGCAGTGGGCCACACAAGTCGGTAGGTTATAGACCACACCCAAGGTGTTGTCTCCATCAGCACCGAAACCTCTGCTCCTCTCTGCTTGGGGGTGGGGAGTGGGGAGGGCCTCTCCCAGGGGACATATCGGACAGGGCTCTGCTTTTAAATCAAAATGAAACGAAATCAAAATGGCAGGAGATGCCCCACGAAGGGAGCATGAGGCCCAGCAACGGACATCATGAAGCCATCCATTTTATTTTCCTTCCCGCCTATCCTTGTGAGGGAACTGCAGGATCAAAGAGAGTATCTCAGCCTGAGTCTGGCTACCTTAATCCCTTCTCCTGGGACGCAGTCCCTTAGAGTGGGCCAGCCAGGCACCACCACCCCTCCCCTGTCCCCTTTGAGGGTCACAAGGCCATCCTGCTCAGCACAGAGAAAGGCAGGGTGTGCAGTGGTGAAGTCGGTGAAGGAGAAGGGAGTTCTTGGCCCTGGCTGGCTTCCTCCCAGCACTCTGCAGGCATGCACGCAACCCAGGAGGGACCAGACAGACAGTTGCAGGGGCAGGAATGGAAGCTAGCTGAAGGCTAAGGGCCTCTCCAAGTTCTCAGGGAACGGAGAAAACTCAGTCCCTGGCAGTTCCTTGAGCTGCCCGTTGTCTTGTCTCCTAACTGGTGAAAATGAGAGTAGCCAACACTGCGATGACCCTGTGGCTTCCACCTGGGAATACTCCAGAACACTACTCTCCAAGACCTCCATCTTAGTAGGCGATGAACAAAGCAAAGGAGAATAAGAAGGGGGATGGGGAAAGGATCAAAGGGAATAAGAAAAAGGGGTAACCCCACCTGGGCTTAAACGAGGCAAGGGCCTTCTAGAACACTCTCCAAGTACAGAAAACAGGGGGTTCTCTAGCAGGAAAACGGCTTGAGCCAGCGTTTGCTGTTGGCTGAGGACTGACGCTGGTGTCACAATGTGGCACATGGCTCCTTTAAAATAATTTTTTGAGGTTCCTTTTTATCACCTTCCCCAGCCCCTTGCAAATGAACCCTTTCCATTCCAAGCGCCACCAAGCAGTTACCAACCTAGACCAAAAAAAAAAAAAAACAAAACAAACAAACTTAAGTCTGCTCAGCCACAGAGGCCCTCGCCGTGGGTAGGGCAGGGGCTCCCACTGGCTCAAGTCAGGGCGGCCACAAATGTCCCGAATCGGTTGGAGATGTCGGAGTGCAGAGACCGCCAGGTGGGTACGGAGGCGCGGGCCTTGGGGTCTCCATCTGTGCAGTGGACTGTCAGGCACTGCAGGTGGCTGCCAGGCTGGGTGGCGGAGGCCTTGTTGGTGGGGAGGTCATGGGCTGCGGAGAAAGAAGACACGGGTTAGTGGCTAGTGCCCTGCAGGGTGGTGGCGGAGGGGTGCCGGGGAAGTAGCATCTGGCCCTGCTTCGTGGCTGGAGATGGTCTGACACGCTTGGCTATGAAGAAAAGCCCACCCCACCCCACCACACCATACCCTCACCACGTCTAGGTCTGCTGCTCCCCAAGAAGCAGGAGATAGAAGGAAGTGATATCAGCCTTTGCCCATCTCTGGTGAGCAAAGACTAGCAGATAGCGGGAGGGCTAACAGCCCATTTGGAAGCATATCAGAGTGTGCACGGGACTCCATGTACATCCTAGAAGAGCTATGGAGACGTCTAGTCCTCTGGACAGACACCTGCTGCAGGCCTACTCGACACTCAGAACTTCCTTAAATAGACAAACTGCACAGCACACCCTAGAGCAAGGGGGAGTCATTCCACTCTACAGCTAAGAAAACTGGGGATGGCCTGCCTCAGGGGACATGGAGGAGAATTCTATCGGCAGGATGGAGAAGCAGCCAGTAGGGACTAGCGTGGTACCACCCTCGACAGGCAAAGGTCAAAGTGCTCTGTGGTCACACCCCCAATAACTTTCTCCCATCCAGAGTCTTCTCCTGCCCTTCTTGGGACACAGGGAATGGGCTCAGCAGAGGTGGCTTGGGGGCGGGCTGGCAAGGGAGGAGCCTACCACCTCCTTACCCCTCAGTAAAGACAGACATCTGTAGCCCGGAGAGACACAGAAACCTGCCTGCAGACATACAGCGCTAACTGAGACCCCCACAAAGGAACCCAAGTCCCGTCCTCTGAAAATGGAATGGCCCAGGCACACAGACTGCACCTGTATCAGTTACCCAGGCTATTACTATGTGTAAAGTGTAAAGAGCCGTGGAGTGTTCGAGGTAGCAGTCAGAGTCAAGCTCCCAGACCACACCAGCCATCTTCAGCGGGCTGGTGGCCTATGCTTCCTCCACACCTTCACAGGGAGCCACCTCAACCCAGCCCCCAACTCACACAGTTGATCACACAGACTCGGAGCTGCCACACCTCACAGTCATCTCTGTGCCAGAGGAAACGGCACTGAACAGCCTACTAGCTAACATGCTAGTAGGAGTTGGGACAAAGTGTATGTGCCCTCCTCCTCTGCTTGAGGTAGAGAGGGGACAGACCACTTTTCAGAGCACCCAGTAGGGCTGCTAAGCATGACCCTGGGAAGGTCAGAAGGGGAGACACCCAGGAACCCATGAAGCCCCACACACATCTCTTAAATCTTGGTTAGGTGGTCTCCCTCCTAGGCACCACGCGGTCTTGTAAAAGAAACTGAGATTTCAAGCTCAGGTCAGTTTGGTTGTTGCCAGTGGACCCATCCCCAGCACACCTCGGGAGAGCAAAGACAGAGAATCCAGTTCCCTGAGCACATGGCAGGCCCCAGCTTGTGGCAAGGCAGTCCTCGTTGGGTTCTGTGTGAGCCCACACATGCCTCGCTCCCAGCTGAATCCCCGCTTCCTGCCCGGCGTTATATTATTCCAGAGCACAATATCATGAGGGGCGGGCTATCCTTGCGCCCCTTACACGCAGAGAAAGACAGAGGCGTGTCTCAAAGCAGAGGTAAGCCAGGTGGTGCTCAGGGCAGAAGAGACCAAGGTCCAGGTCTAACTGCAGGCCCCGGGAAGGTAACACGACAGAGGTATTTCTTAATCAGCCTCAGGTAAATCCGTCCTCTGGTCACTCTCTGCTTCTGCTCAGTTACTCTCTGCTCCCATTCCTAGGCTGATGCCTCCTAAGCTATATCTGGATCTCATCAGAGCCAGGCGGTTGCTGTACCTGGGGCGGAGTCCCGTATTGTCTAATTCCATCCCCCAACAAGCCAACAATGCTCTGCCTTTCCTCCATTTTGGCAGAAGCACCTGTGACCCAGAGAGGGTGAGTGAGGGGCTGGCCTGATACCACACATCACGGGTACAGGATCACCTAGTCTCAACAAGATCTCACGAGACTGTCAACTCCATCCTAGAGCCCACATGCAGTCCTTCTAGGAGAGTGTTTTTCTTCAGTTCTTGGCTACGCAAGCATGTTTGTATCCCTCCCATCTGTAGTCACTGCAGTGTGGGGAACCCATCATGCCCTAGGACGGTGGCCCCTCAGGCTGTCATCTCACAGATGACAGATCTATCCTGCAGAAGCTGTTCAAGTCCCAGCCTGTCCCAGCCGAGAAGACGCTGAGTCCCCAAGCCTCAGGTGCTGAGCATTCCTAGCTCTCCATGTCAGCAATCCAGAGATAATACTGCCACCTCACCAAGCCCCTGGGGCTGAGGGACACCTGGGATCCCTGGGTACCCAGTGCTGACAGATGCCACAGGTTGGCTCTCTCTTCCTAGCCTAGAGTTCCTGATAGGAGAGGGGACTCCCACACCTAGCCTGCTGGCCTGTCTTCAGTACTCTTTCCTCCATTTGTTATTGGAAGTGACGTCCTGGTTGAGCCAGGCTCACAGCAGCTAAGAGACCAGACCATGGAGCAGACCAGACGGGAAGGCCTCATGCATGTGGGCGAGGGTCGGAAGGCCTCATGCATGTGAGTGAGGGTCAATGCCCAGAGGGGAGGGGTACCATCGTCTATAAATACACCCTGCGTGGACCTCACTGACAGTGGCATCCCAGAAGTGAGGGCCCATAGCTGACTGGCCAAGAGAGGCCAGGACAGTTTGAATGTCACCTGTGAGAGAAGACAGATTCCTCACGTCCATAGCTGGGGTCAAAGCTGGCTCTAGGTAACCCCTGCAAGACCTCTCAAGGTCCTTCCTCACAAGATGGCCACAGATCCTGCATGGGGTTATCGTGGCTGACAGCTTCACCTCATGGCACTGAGGTCAGTACCAGTCTGGCACACCCACTGCAGCCACAAAGACCCACGTGGGTCTCTGTCTGCCAGGCTCCAGGCCACAGCAGGTGACGGAGGAAGTCGTGCAGGGAGGTGAATGCAAACGTCTCCTCGCTTCCCCTGTGGGTCCAACAGCAATGGCAGACACTGGGGCTTCTGTGTGTGTCTTGCCCCTGGGCTTTCAGACCCTGGAGTCTAGGAGAAGGGGAGCAGCCATGCAAAGGGGCCAGGGGCACCAGGAATGTGAAGGGCCTGACTTGCCTGGAGTGGTTACGGGGCAAACTGGCTGCTAGCTGCCTGTCTTTTCCTCCCTACTCCCTTCTTGCCTCTTCCCTCCTCCCCCTTTCTCATCCTCCCCTCTGCTTCCTGGGATTTCTCCTCTATCCTTACACTCTTTGAGATCAACAGGGAAATCCTGGCTGCACCCTGCTCTGTACTGAAGCCCCTGCCAGGATCCAACATGGGGGCCATGCTCAGGCACTAGCGACCTCCTGCCTCGGTGGCTCTCCAGATCTATTCTACCTTGAGTCCCGGGATAAGGGTTCTGGCCTGGCCTTCTGTTTTCTGTCCACTAGAGGGATGACCAAGGTGAGGGACGTGGGTGGGGCCCAGCTGGTGCCCAGATTGAGGGTAGGCACAGAGGGGTGGTGGGTGAACCTACCTCTGGGCACGTTCACAGGACACCCAAGCCTCCAAAAGGCCCAGGACCTGCACTTGCTACTCAATAGTCAGGATTTGGGGGCACCAGACCTAGAACAGCAGTATTTTCCTCTCTGTGGGGGCTCCCTACGGCCAGCGTGAGGTAGAGCGGGTATTTTTAACTCGTGGCTTATGTAAGAGGGAGTGTGGGCCTGAACAACAGCTAATGCCGCCCCCCACATTCACCTCACCCGATTCCCACAAAGGAAATTCTGAATTTCCTTTATTTGGGCCCAGGAAGGGTAAAGGGAGAGGCGCTATCTTCTGTGACTTCTGCCCTTGAATGGGGCAGAGCTGCTGGGTCTCCGGGCTGGACCACTTCTGTTTCTTGAGACTGACCACACCAGCCAATTTTCTCTCTCTCTCTCTGCATCTACTATCCACAGGCCTAAACAGACCTTCTGTAGCTCTCCAGTCCCCAGGACCGAGCCCTGACTGTCTCTCTCCTGCTGTGTGCAGTCCCTACACAAAGCCTCGTCCCCACTCTATCTGTGGCACCCTCCCTCTGCACCCCTGCTGACTCCCACCTTCCAGCCCAGCTGTCAAACCCATAGGGGGCCCCCAACCCAAGGCACAAAGAGAGGCAGTTGTGTGTCCAGGCCCCTCCCCACAAGCTGCCGAGGATCAAACACCTGGAGACACAGGGCACAGGTGGACAAGTTCCCAACAGTAGAGTCAGCCACTTCGCCTGAGCTGGATGATGGCACCAACACCAGCATCTTGGGTCTGGCAAGGGGCAGGAGCTTACAAAGGGCTATGTGGTTCAAGGCTTTAGTCTCAGCTACCCTGGGCCTCAGCTCTCCCTTCCACCGTGTCATGTGACAACAGAGAAAAGCGAGAGAAGTCAGCCACACCTCTGTACTGCCAGCCGCACGCACTGGCTGCAGCCTTGATGAGAGAGTCACCGGCTCTCCTGACCTTGGGTCACCTCAACAGCCAGGGCACTAGGGACCGATCGATAGCCCATTTCACAGCACTGGAAACCGAGTCCAAGGAGACTAAACCGGCAGCACCTACAGCCACAGAGCTGAAGACCAGTAGAGCTGGCCACACCCACGCTGTCTGTCAGGGAGTCATTTGCAGAGATTAAAATGTCCCTATCTGGGTGGCAGAGGCTGTGACCCCAGTGCCTCCCTCAAGCCCCTCCCCCTTTCTGTATCCTGTCGCCCTCCTGAGGTCAGTACCCTCCCTCTTCTCTAGAAAGGATGTCCATCCAGGCTCACACAGTGAGTTAGGAATTATTACCCAAGGCAGACAAACACAGAGCCCCTTGGAAGCTGCCTCATAACACTGTCTGGTGCCGGCTACACCCTCTGTCACAGGTCCTGAGAGAGGGTCCTGCAAGCCCTTCGGTCCTAGCACAGGGCCAGCCTCGCAAGGGTCAGGAGTCCATGAGCCCAGCTTTCAGGGCCCAGAAGAGTGAAGA